AAAAAGAAAATTGCGGAACCTGCGCGAATCGATCCTATCATATTAATCCATACATTTAAATATTCAGCTGCATTAACTTTCTATTCACAAATGTGTTATTCTCTTTCGTTCTTTATTTCTTGTCTCAATGCCGTGGATTGTGTTTGTTTTTGTGCACTGTACGTCTATTCTTATATCAAGAGGTCAAATATTGCTGAAACGTTAATTGGTACTAAGTTTACGTGCCATTTCCGGTAATTTAAGCAGCAAACTCAAAGATTTTAAATTAAAATTTATTTTAAAGTTTCAATTTATATTTACACCTAGTGGTGTATCTTTATTCGGCTATAAGGTGCGCCAAACACCAACTGCGGCCGTAAAATGCACGTATCCGATAGCACGGCCGCGTGCCTCGCATGCTTTGGCATAATCACACTAAAGCACCATGCTGACCCTATTATTTGTAAGTTATCGACGTGCTACCTTTTTTTCGGTTAGTTACACCGAAGAACAGCTTGGTCGATTTTTTGCACAAGGGAATTAGCAACTAATTTTAAAAAACTCATGCAACGCAGAGTAAAATTCAACTTACTAACAAAGTGTACCACTGTCTCCCCTTTAGAATGATTGATTGAGAAATTATATCGCAAATTTTACAGAAACAGGTAGTACAATATGCAGAGTAAATTCCATGAAGATTATCATGATGATAAATTATGACCTCAGCGCGGTCGATTAACATTAATTTTTTAACAAGAGGAAACTTCGCAACAGTTGGGTGCCGATCAGCCACACCCCTATGCAACACATAAATAATTTACAAGATTTTCCGTATAATTCTTGATATGTTCCAGAGGAGCGTTGCCCAGTATGGCTGAACTAGCGATTTGGCTAACTTGAGATGCTCTATGCTCTTGTTCCTTATCTTACGCATCAGGTGATTTGTAGAAATGTCGTTACCGGAAATGCTCAGAAATGACAGACCTGTTTCGGATGTGCTAAAAATTTGATTCTTATGCTTTCGGTGCACGAGTTTCTGCAGCATTCTCGTTCAATGGAATTGCCATATGGATCATATTGCCTGGTTGTTGTCTCGGTCGATAACTTAGATGGTCCGGAAGGCTGTGTTGCATAAGTCTGAAGACGAAACTTCTGTGCTGAAGAAAATTTTAAGCTTAGATTGACCTCAATTGTGGTCATGAATCATGGGCATGATTGAAAACCTGCGATTTGGGGTACAAACAGTCGAAATTGCATTTCTGAAATAAATGGTTCAGTTCACGCGTCTCGATGAAGACTGGATTTCAGTTATCCCACAGAGCTTTCATGTACAGTCGCTGTTTCTGCAGATTCATAGGTCACAACAGCGCACGTTTTGCCAATGATTTCAGAAAGGAATGTGCAACAGCTACTACGTGATCAACCGAAAGGCCGAAAACCCGGGAGGGACGGCGAGAATAACCTTGGGCAATTAATTGCCTTAAAGGAGTCTGCTCGAAAGGGTTATCTTCTACTGAAGCTCATATGCTGGCACAAGATCAGGAACGTTTCAGACTGACTCTGATGCTAATGCCTCTGCAACTCAAAAAGATAAGTTACCATCGAAACTGAATGATTGATACAGGGTAGCTCATCCATCAACAGCCGGTGGTTAAGAACAGCCAACTTTTCGTTCGATTCTGACGGTATCCAAGGCAACAAGTTTTTGCAAGTCGATAGTCAATGATTTCAAAAGGAGATCACTGCAAAGATGACCACTGGCGCTGTTCGCGCACTCTTCCATTGACACGCTTGTTTCTGATCGATAGGTACATTTTGGTATTTTCTTATTTTCCATATCCATGTATTCCACAAATTCTTTTCCATCAACAGCAATAATAATATTAGCAGCAACGTCATTAGTCTCGGAGGTCTTCTACTTGCGA